TCTACTAGCCATTAGAGAGATTTGTAAGGTTGGTTCTTTGCTCATTGTAGCACTGGTTCTTCCTTGGTCTTTCTAAGATACTATCCATCATCTTCCATTTTCTTTCATAAACTCAACCATAACCATACCATCATTCCACCATATAAATAATTCTCTAAATCCTTTCAAACATATCATCATCTTCATTTATTCCGCTGCCATTTCTTATCTTACTAACTTATTCATTCATACTTAACCATTTTCTTTTAAGTCTTCTTATTTCAGGAACACTTGTTGCCTTCCTAGGTCCTATAATCAAAGTGCAAGTCTTACCTCACCAAGTGGAGTAGGGTGTGCTTGTATCATATTATCTTAGAGATGTGTGAAAACCTTCAGCCATTTTTCTTTTGGGACATCTTCTGGCCATTTCAGTGTGAGGAACTCCCCCAAATGAGAGTAAGTGGTGCTGAATCGACGGTAGAAAACCCCGTTAGTCTTCCAAAAATTACTATGGATCCAGACCTAAAGAAGCTGTGTGCATCCTATAAATCTCCCTCTGCTGGTCTTTCTACAATGATTGAGTGAACGGAAAGTTTCAGCTAATATCGTCAGTATTGGGTTCACGCGTTCGAAAGTTGTTCGAATAGTTCTACCACAGTCACCTCAATATATCCCAAAGTCTTTGGGAAAATGATTAAGCCATAGATACCCAAAGCGAAGAGATCAATCACCTTCCATTCATCAGTATGATTTTTCATTAATTGCTTGATGTCGGTCCAAGTAATTCCTTCTCATTTACCCTTGTGTTGAGTCTAATCAATTACCCACTTTTCATCTACCCTTGCAATCTTTGCTGACCCGTTATTGAAAGGCTAACTCTTGATAAACTTGGTGTAGACTCAGTCCATTCTGGTTCCTTCGTAATGCAGCAAGCTAGTGTATTCTTCAATAGTGGGTACCATATCTTCTTGGTTGAACGTGAAACAACTGTACCCTGGATTCCAGAATTACACTAAGGCTCGAATTAGGGGTTCGTCTATCTTGACATGGAGTAGAAGTCCGATATCACCATATCGCTGACAGAATTTCTATTTCTTGTCACCTTTCCAGCTGTCCCAGATATCTCGTAGTTTTTTAAAAGCATTCTGCTTAAGGCTAATAGAAGCATAACCCATAAGTTCTTATACGTAGTTGCCCTGTAAACTATTCCCCTTTTCCTTCTGAGTCCTCTCTGACCATCGTCGGACCTTTTTGTTTTTCACCACTTGCATTACAACCCCTTTGTCCATTAATGCAGATTATTTGGGTTTAACAAATACTCTTTGTGGATCAACACCTCTTTTGTATGATGTAAATAATAAGTTAAAAGAACAAAAGATGAAAGAAAAACAAGTCAGTAAAATAATAATTAAAACAGTACTTGAAAGTAAAAAGAAAAAAGAAAAATATTCCTACCCCAAATGATATCTAACAAACATCCTTTAATTCTTACCCATACATGCTTTCTACCCCACATGCTAATTTTAAGCAAATCCTAACTGCATATTTTCTAGTTCGCATGCTTTGAACAAAAAGTAAAATAGGAAATAATTCAAGCATCCTAGGTTTTGAGATGGAGTTTCAGGGTGGGCTCTAATTCCCTGTAATCTCCCTGTTTAAGTTATAAAGAAGGTACCTGAGTTCTCTTTGCTGGTGCCCTCTTGGGCTTACCAGTCCTAAGCCCATTACAAGCCTACGTGGACCAAGTTAAACTCGAGAGGATACATTACCTTATGTCTATACGGAGAATAAATTCACACGAAGACACAAGGTATATGAATCTCGAAGGTTACTCGCTAGGCCTATACGGAGAATAAATTCCCACGAAGGCGTTGCTTTCACCTTCACTTAAAAAGGGTTTGGAGCTTGGGTATAGAGCCAGAGATGAAAATTTTAAAAATATGAAATCATTGAATAAACATTAGTACAACTATTTATTTGAAAATAGAATAAATAAATTAAAATTTAAACTTTTTATTTTCACCTAAAAAGACAAACAGAAATTAATCTGGCCTGACTTACATACATGTCCCCAGTGAAGTCACCAAATTGTCGTACCGTCCTTCGGGTGGGCCCAGAATTGGGCTTTGACTTGAAAAATATGTAAGAGCCGCCACATATCATTTTTTATGAAAAATTTGGTTAATCGGACACCATCTTACCTAATATGCGTTTTACCATAAATGTGTCAGATTCGAGAGTCAGTTATAGTCAAGGAAGGATTAGCACCCTTGAATTATCCTTTCGGTACCATTTTAATTTTTTCGGTTTTATTAATTTCGAAAATTAAAATTTAAATACTCGATTCGAATTACTTACCTTTGATCAATTCGAAGTGCCCCTAAAAATTTCAAATTTTTTTTATTAGATCGTGAAATAAAAAAAACTTTTTCCTTAAAATAAAAAAATAAAACGAAAGGATAAAATTGAAACAAAATTAATGTTGAGGGACCTAATTAATGCTAAAGACGGACTGCAATGAAAACAATAAGAGTTAAAGGGGTTAAATTGCAAAAAAATTATAAACAAGGACTTAATCGAATTAATTAAAAATTCAGAGGTAAAATAGTGGTAATTGAACAAAATAAATTATACATCAAAATATCAGGAACTGCAGAAATGATTTAACTATTTCATAATTATACAATGGTCCCCTTATAAATAGCCCTTTAAACCCAAAATAATTATCATTTTCCTCATTTCTCAATTTCCCCCAAACCAAACTCTCCCCTTTTCCCTCAATCCTCTCCCCCTGTTCCCAATCGGTCCATGGTCGACTAGCACTCCGGCAAAGTCCCGTCGCACCGACCGTCGTTTTGGTCACCGTCTCTGATGGTAGAAAACCTAAAGGCCTACCCCAAAGCTTCCTCTTAACATCTCAGACCCAAAACCGACCTCCAAAAGCCCAAACAATAGTCTTATCGAAGTAGATCTAAGAAAAACCTCTCGAGTCTTACCTATGTTCGACGAGGACTGACGATTTCCCTCATTTTGAAATCGACAAACGCTTGACCTTGATGTCTTTTATATTTTTAGTATTTTTCCTTATGATTTTCTTGGTTGCCTAGTGATATTTGTTGCTCGATATTTTTGGTATTTTTTTGTTTGTATTGTTTCGATCTTTGCTTCTATTTTCTTGGTGGATTTTTGATTTCTTGTTGTTGTTGTGTTTGTTGCATGGTCGGAGGCTTTTATAGCCCCGTAACCAACTGTTGTGGTTCCAGATATTTTGGGAGTGTTGTCGATTCTTTCGGGATGGTTCAGTCTCGGTGATCGTGCTTGACTCTTCTGTTTTGATGGTTGCTGGGACATCTTGGTTCTGATTTTCAAGTGATTTTAGCTTAGGGAGTCGAGTGTTTCGGTCGGTCAGTGACTTGACTGGAACATGTCTTCCACTCGCTGTTACCGATTATTCTTTATGGATTCTGACCGTTAGATAAGACGGCCAGATCTAATTGCCCCTGTGCGACTGCGCATTGGTATGTGTTTTTAGGGTTTTCATAACCCTAACTTGCTTCAATTGTGGCCCTTGATTCGTATCTTGATCCAATGGATTGGAACACACAATTCCTTTTGTTAAGATCTAAAACCCTAAGCGAACTTGGGCCTCCGGGTTTGCTTGCTGGGTCAGGCTAGCATTACCCGGTTGGGCCTTATTTTGGACACAAATGGACTCATTATTTGCTTGGACCTAAAAATAGAAAATAAATAAATAAATAAATAAAATGAATAATTAAATAAAAATATACTATAAAATATATTTTGAAAAACATTTTCGAAACCTATACATCAAACTATATATTATATATATTTTCAAAATCATTTTAAAATTATATTATATATATTTTCAAAATGTTTTCAAAATTATATATTATATATATATTTTCAAAATGTTTTCAAAAACTATATATTATATATATTTTCAAAATGTTTTCAAAAACTATATATTATATATTTTCAAAATGTTTTCAAAAACTATATATTATATACATGTTTTCAAAATGTTTTCAAAACTATATATTATATATATTTTCAAAAAAAATATTGTATATATTGAATAGAACCCCAAGAGAAAATGAGTGACTACATTTCTATACAAATTTTCTTAAGGGTAAACTACTAATTTCTCAACTTCTTCGCCAATACAGTCATTTTCCATTTTAACCAACAGATTTAAATGTTTAATAGAACAACAAAACAAGCAAATGAAACTCTGAGGTGGCTAAAGAGTAAGTTTTTTCAGACAAACCTCAACTTCAAGAAGTTCAAATAGCCTTGGAATGAGAGGCTTCAAACTGTGCTTACCTGAAAAAACAAAGGCAATTTACGACGTTTGCAAACCCAAACGACACAATTATACGAAACTATGGCGGCGTTTGTAAAAAAAGCCACTAAAGTACTTCTCTATTGCTGCATTTGTTGAAAAACGCCATTATAGATGAACTCTATTGCGGTGTTTGTATAAAAACGCCGCTAAAGTACTACTCTGTTGTGGCGTTTGTTGAAAAAATGCCACTATAGATGAAGTCTATTGTGGCGTTTGTATAAAAACCCCACTAAAGTACTACTTTGTTGCGATGTTTGTTGAAAAAATGCCACTATAGATGAACTTTATTGAGGCGTTTGTATAAAAATGTCGCTAAAGTACTACTTTGTTGATGCGTTTGTTGAAAAAACGCCACTATGTATGAGTCTATCGCGGTGTTTGTATAAAAACGCAGCTAAAGTACTACTCTGTTACGACTTTCGTATAAAAACGCCGCTAAAGTTATCATTTTATGGCATTTGGAATGTAAACGCCGCTATATGTTTGAAGTTACTGGGGTTTACTCTTAAAACGCCGTTGTAGAATAGTTTTGTTGTGTTTATTGTTTGAAGGAACAAAAATCTCTTTGTAATTCATAAGTCCAAACTGGAAAAACTTGTTCATATATATGTAATCATAACATAGAAAATATGCAAATAATACATATTTGCCGTAGACTAAATCAAGAAAATAATGATCTCTTTGTTGGTATTCAACTATGTAAAACAACTATAATATCAATATGGAGTAAGGGTGCATATTTATGACTATTTATTCTCAAATGTGGAATAGACTTAACGATTTAGAGACCATAAATAGGAAGGTTATTATAAGTGATCGAAATCCACCATTGATGAACCCATCCGAACTGGGTATAACAGTTGCAGAATCATTGTTCTTTGAAGATGGCTGAGTTGTAGTTCCAGGTTGTGCTCCTGGGGAACCGACAGGTGAAGATTTTTTATCATCTTCTACGTTTACTTGAAGCTTCATCCCTCCAAGACAATGGATCTTGTTGCCACAAACAAAGTATCTGGTTCCAGCATTTGACAGTGTTACAGTTGTGTTCCCATTGGAATATGTTCTTAAACTCTTTGTTGTATTGCAAGTTTCGAAACTTTCTTTCGCAACCTCGCTCACGCTGTGAGATGATGAGTATTGGAATGCTGCAGAGAAACATGAACAAAACCGAAATTTGTCACTTGAACTTGAATCGAAACAAATCCGCCAAAAAAGGGGAAAATACATAAATAGATTTGTTGAGTCCCCGGCCATTAAAAGTTACAAAATGGCCACCCGATTATTCATATATTCCAAACTCTTCCTTTTTCGTTTAAAAAGTGGCCACTATCTGATATGATAAAATCATATTTCAATTATGTCTACTGAAACCGTCGTTGCTTTCAAGCACGGACTCGACGACATAATGTTTCAAACATTATCTCGACAACATAATGTAAACGAAGAGTTGATCAACAAAACACAACTCAATTGGTTTTGGGATTAGGTTTTATCATATCTCAATTAACAAATTAACGTCCAGCTCAGACAACCTCCATTTTTAACAGAAAATAAAAAATTTGGAATATATGAATAGTCAGACGACCATTTTGTAATTTTAATAGTCAGGGGATTCAAAAAAATAAAACCCTATAGAAGGGACCATTTTATAACTTTTAATAGTCGGTAGACTCAATAAAACAATGTCCTATAATTGGGAGATCATTTGTGTACTTTACCCAATAAAAAAAGCAAGATAAAACACTTACATAGAACATCACCAACGTTGAATCTCTTCTCAGAAGCCCATGAATCAATATCAGTGCTTATGTCCCAGCCAGAAGTATCCCCAACAACATATGTTGCAGCATGACTTGTTAATGAAAAGCATAAAATAGAAAGAAAACAAAGTAGAATCAGGTTAGCCATGGATGAAAGGGTATGCTTGAGAGGATTAAAATTTGGCATATAAATATATACGCAAGTACTCGAGGGTTGATATATTATTAGATGACCTAACTGTAGTTAGATCCGGAAATGACTTTGTATTACTGAACAAGACACCTGCCTTTTGGGTCTTTGCTTTTGATGTAAACGGAAACGAGTTGTTAAAGATTTGTTGGGTTGCATTAAACTTGGATTGATGGAGACCATTGAAGGTGAATTTCGTTCATCTGAATAATTTGTCCTGAATTTCATAATTAAACTCGCACTAAACTCTCTTTATAGATAAAAATTATTAATTAACACACGATTACCGCTCTAAAATAGGAATCTTTTTTAACCTAAAATAAAACATTGAGGGAAAAAATGCCCAAAAAACGAATAAGAGACAGTGATTATTCTATCAAATGTTAAGGGCCTTTTTGTCCTAAAATTAAATATTGAGGGCCAAAATGCTCCAAAAAAATAGAATAGAGAACATAATGACTCTTTTGATAAACGTTAGGGGCTAATTTTAGTATTATGCCTTTTTCAAGTTTCACATATCCTACATGAAAATTCATAAATTATTCATGTATTAGCTTTAACAACTTTTTAAGGATAATAATAAAACTTTCAACTAACGAGTTGGTTCAAATGATAAGTAATTAAATATCGTTTAAACATGTTTCAAATTTAAGACTTTGTGTATGCATAAAATTCTCTTTGGAAGACTCGCTCACTAAAATTAGGTATGCAATATAAATCGGTCCAAATTAACCATGATAAAACACTTAAACCAAGAGCGTAAAAAAAACTTTCAAATGGTTCCCCAAAGTCAATACAAAGGGATTCAGAACTGCAGGGGGAGCGAGGGGTTTATCTGCCTCACCAGCAGATTTCTGCTTCACCAACTCCTCACTAACTCTTCTGTTGAAAATCATCAAAAATAGTACGATGATTAGTAGTAATGGATTTTAACACTGGATTTTAAAGGGTTGATTAAGAAGTAAAATTATATATTTAATTAAAATATTTTGTTAGGCCTTACTAATATAAAGTATATATAAGTTTTTTACAAATAAAAAATTAAAATATATAAAACTATCAAATACATCAATTTGTATATAAAAAGTACAAAGAAATAAAATACATAATGATGTTACTTAAAATTGTAGGCAACGCTATTTTAAAGAAACAAAATCTTCATCCAAAAGTGTCAACAATCTGTAGTTTAATATTAACAACCTAAATATTTGTACAAGAATAAAAAAACACATCATCTTATTCTACTGTCTAAATTTGACTATTTTTATCACAGAAAACGAAAACAAAGGTTGAAAGATTATATTAACTTAAAAAAAATAAAAAGGAAAACATACGTTAATTTTTTTAACAATTTCATGGCTACCTAATAACCTACGCAATTTAATTTTAGAAGGAAAAGAAAATTCATGAATATTGAACCGATGTTAAACCGTGATTAGAAACAAATACAATATTTTATATTAGAGAAATGAATTTATAAGATTTTTAGAGGGACGAATTTATAAAAATTTTAATATTAAAAATAAATTATTAATTACATATATAAAAATTTATAAAATATAGGAGAATTTACTTTTTTTTAAAGAGACTACTGTCCTATAATCTCTTAGGTCCATCCATGACAGTGGTACTTATCAAAATAAGAAGCACCCGTATGTAATACTGAAAATATTAATAATATTAATAATAAAAAATATAATCAATAAAAAAAATCAACACGAAAATATAAAAGATATTAGATCAATAAAACAGAATCAACACTAAGAAAAAAAAATTAGATCGGCAAAACAGAATCAACAAGAAGATAAAAAATGATATTTGTCTAAAACTTGTCATTTATCATTTTAAGGTTTTAAAACAAAATCATCTTAAAATAAGAGAAAAGAAAAGTGATTTCTTAAAGTTTGTAGAAGAAACTAATATTAGGAGAAAGTTTAAGGTCATATATGGTTAATTTATGAGAATACTACTTATTTCTAATTTAATTACTAAAATAGTATTTAAACAATGTTATTTAAGAAAATGGTTTCAGTTTCGATAACATTAAAGGTGTATCTATTTAGCCGTACCTTAACAAAAACGCTTTTAATTGGACGCGTGTTTGTCCTACATGACATGTTATGCCAGAGCTTTCTATTCCGATTGGCTAAAGAGGGAAGTCGTGGATTGTCATCCATACCTCCCAATGAAAGCAATGTAACTCCTTTATTTAGTTAATTTTTTAATATCATTTAAATTAGTTGATAAAACTTATATGTAATTGTTATTTTTATTTGTCTCGTGTTTGAATGATTTTATTTATTCCATAATCTTAATTCATTTAAATAATTTATGGTTATATAATTTATATTTAAATAATTGATAACTTAAATAATTAGTGATTGTTGAGCCAATGAATAAATCAAATAATCAAAAGGGGTGAATTGACAATTAAAATTTTTTGTTGAAATTTTTAGAAAAATAGAAAATATTGAACACAAGTATTTTAGAGTGGTTCGAGTTATCAACCCAAATTTACATCCACTACCTTAACTGTTTACACGAAGAATTTTCACAAATTCATTAATTTGTAACAACTTCTTCTTTGACCTTGTCTTTCATTTCGTCTTTTGTGACAACTTCACTAAACTTTTAGACTTTATGGTGTTCCAATTAGGATATTGGCTTGGATTGTCTCATTTTCCCAAACACCGGTAACATCAAATGTATTTGTCTTCACTTGGAGCAATCATTTTCTTGTGTTCTTTTGATGTATGCTCCATTCCTCTTGGTTGAGAATTCACTCTCTTCCTATTCGAAATAATTTTGTCGATTCACTCTTATAATGGAACTAATCGATGTCAGGAATAAAGTTGAAATGCTTGTGTTCTCAATCGAATTAAAGTGACTCGAACAAAGGAGACTTTGAATTGGAACTTTCGTTGAAGTGAACGAAAACGATGACCATTATAATGGGGGGTGGTGGTGGATCTTTTGTTGGAGTTTAGAATGGTGAAAATATATTGGAGGGAGGATGGAAATGAATTGATAGTGAAAATGATGATGATATCTAAGATATAGGATATGCTTCGAATTGGTTTAGGGAACATAAGGATGAACCAATGCTATAAGGTAATGTTAACCCCAAACTCATATGGTTTATTTTAACAATTCACAAGTGGATAGATGTGACCCACTATATATATATATATGATATAGGAACCAACGTTATAGAAAGATGGATGAACGCCACACTCAGAAAAGTGATAAGTTTAGTACATAAGACACCATAAGTTAGGCTTGATAAGTCCAAGGATAAAACAAGTGAGACAAAATCAACTTTTTATTTTCAACATAAAAAAAGTTTCTCATTTTTTAACCAATAGATAATGATGAACTTTGTATAGGCTTACAAGGCATGTGAATAATTGCTATGAAATAAACTGAATACATGTATTAATTGGGTGCATTCTTCTAAAGATGGTTGACCATGTATTTGGAGAAGAAGTGATCAAGGGTCATTTGCATGGGACATGTCTCGAATACATGAATTCAAATGACGAGTGAACTCTTCAACGCATGTTCTTGGTTTCCATCCATTTAGGTGTAATATCCCAAATTTAGTATTGGTGACTGAAAAGTAAATTTTAAAAATCTAGGGACCAAATTGTAAATTTGTAAAAGTTTAGTGACTAAAAATGAAAATTTTAGAAGTTATATTTTGGGTATGTAATTGAGTAGTTTAGACCAAGAATATAATTTTAATGGGTTTTAAAATTTTGATTTGAAGTTTGTATAAAGTTTATTAAGTGATAAAGATCGGTAAAATATTCAGATAACAGGATCGAATCGGAAGTCTGCAAAATTTGAAGGAAGGTAGATTGGTGCTAGAAACATTATATTGATATTTTTAATTATTGGAATTTGATTTGAATTAGTGAAACTTGGAGGAATTTCCATGTTAAAGTGGAATAATGAAATTTAGTAACTAAAATTAGGGATGACAGAATGACCCGAACCCGACGGGAAAACCCGAAACCTGGTCAAATTCGGGTCGGGTCGGGTTTGAATGATATCGGATTGGGTATCGGAGATTTTTTTTGGATTAGGGTTCAGGGTAAGGTATCCCCGCCCCGCCCCGCCCCGATTATATATATATATATAATATTTTATATATTTTATATTAATTATATTATAATATTTTATATATTTTATATTAATTATATATATAATATTTTTGGGTTCGGGTATAATATTTCGGGACGGGTTCGAGGACTGGGCAAAAAAAATCCCTGACAGGGCGCCCCGATAAAAAACTCGACGAGGATCGGGTTGGGGATGGGGATGAGGATTCATTTCAGGGACGGGGATAGGGCAAGCAAAACCTGCCCCGAACCCGCCCCGTTGCATTCCTAACTAAATTGAAATTTTGGAAAATTAGAAGGGCAAAGGTAGAGATTGATAAATGATATTTTTATACTTATTTAATGTTATGAAAATGGAGATGAAAGGATGGCATGGTGGTAATTATCAAGATTCATTAAGGGTAATTTTGACTTTTGGGCTAAAATGAATTTTAATTCATTTTAAATTGGGTTTATAAAGAGATATTTTGCAAGAAAACTCAAGAAATCTCTTATCTTCTCCAGCAACCTGTCGTGACTCCATAGTCAAGGTGAGCAAGCTTTTCTTTTTCATTTTTGGTCCATTTTAGTGAGAATTTGGACTAAAGTATGAAATAAGAAAATGTTCTACACTTAATTCTCTACAAATTGGTATAATTATTTCATTGTTTTATGCTTAAATGGTGAAGTGGGTATTTATGGTGGATGTAGGGGAAGTTATATTTGGTTGAAATAAGCTTGAATTTTGATCCTATGACTGTTATGTAAGTATAAACAAACATGGAAATTGATTGAAAATGGTCATGAGGATTTTTGAAATTTTCGGCCATTATGAGGTGTTTGGGAGAAATATCGATT